ATTATTGCCAAGATGAAGACACAGACACCGATGAGTGCTATAGCAGTGAGTAGAACAATGTTACTTGGTGTAAGGTACAGTTTGGCACTCCAGCTGCAGGTGAAAAACAGAAGAATTAAAATTACACATATAACTTAAATATAATAAAATTCTATTAGACCAAAATGTGCAAAACTGCTTAATCAGCCAATCCATTCATTAACTCATTCATCTATCTCTTTATTCATTATAAATAAGTGAGTCACTTTAGGACAGGGCTAAGGATATGGTCGATCCTGTGGGGTTCAGATTTACTCAGAGAATTAAAATAGAATAGGATTTTTGATGAGATGTTTTGATATTTTCCTTTGATCTTGTGAAAGCTATTCTTAAGTAAACTTATGCAAGGTGTTTTAGACAATCTTAGACATTGCACATCTTGATTAATTGTTGAATTTGAAATCTTGGACTTTAAGGCTATTATGTTATGATTTTGATAAGTTTTCTATATCATTTTATTTTTTGATCTGTATTCATAAAAGTACTATGACAACTAAAATCACCATATGTTCAAGTAGGTATAGATAGATGACATGCAAAACTACCATTTCTGTGTTATGTTTAGAGGGCTTACGTTACTACAATGACTCTTACATAAAGACCTCTTATGAACCACTTTTAGTCTTTCAATGTTAATGGCAATAAACAGCTTTAGCATAAATAGGATTAGTCTTCTTTCTAAACACTTAATACAGTACTTGTAAACTCTAAAAAGCCTGAAACCAAAGGTCTCTATAACGAACTTGTGGATGGTTACATACAAAGAACTTTTTGTTCTCCCTGAAATAGATAATAGTTATATTTTCACTTCAAAGTTTAATAAAGGTAAAATCATTCTAATGAATAGCAGTTGCGATTGACTTATTTTAGGTAATTAAAATTTACTGACCCCTAAAGTTAGCCTTTCGTCAATAAAATCTCAAATACACCTCAAACTAAAAATCAATTGTTTATTATGTACATAAATTTGAAAAGAGCATTTGTTGAGAAAGAGTGAGACATGAAAATATTGAGATAATGAAGAAAGCTAAAAACAAATTTTAGAATTCATAAGAGTAAGTAAACAGGATTAATTATCTGAAGTTATCTATCTTAATATTTTACCTCATATTTAAAAATTATTTCATGAGAATTTTTGAGTGTACTTTTAAAGATTTTAATCCAAGAATATAAAAATGTTGGCCAAAAATATTGAATGGAAGGGCAGTTTTTATTTTTATTTTAAAGATTTATTTATTTAGGCATACTAGAGCTGGGTATAGGCCAGAGGTGTGTGTTGGGGGGAACTGAGAGGATTCACCAGAGACAGAGTAGGAACAAAAACAGCAGACTGACTGAAATACACTGCTGAGGGGAGCAGCGGGTGAGTCAGGAAAGTCTGCTGTGCCATGTGGGTTGCTAACCTGGCCAGCCGGGGATTGAACTTGTGCTGCAGAGGCTGCAGATAGCTTCAAAGGTGCATCTTAACCCCTTGCACCACCAGGGAATCCTGGAAGGGCAATTTTTAATTTCTTGCCCAGAAGCATTCTTTTGTATCAATTTCTTATACACCATTCCAATATATATCTTGTTTTTAAAATAAAATTCATTGCTTATTATATGAATGTTTTCCTTTTTTTTTTTTTGCTTACCACTATTTTAATAGATTATTCTATGTCATGATTTTCCAACATGGTATAGAATTATCATAATTTATGCAGTTTTCTACTCATGATGCAGATTTTCTAGAATTTTTTTTCACATAACACTATCAAACATATGATGTGGACTTATTAGGAAAGTCTGAAATCAGACTAAAACTATTTCTATTTATGTTATTTCAAGCATGATGATGTTATAAAGTTGTTTTCTCTATTAAGTAGCTTGGTTCTAAGCCAATAAATCCACCATAAAATATATCCAGTGGTGTGCTGATAAACTGGCTCTCTAGAGGAAAAACCCAATCTATGGCATTTGCCAATTTTTATGGTGTAAATTTTCCCATCATGACTGATTTTAATGTGATCTCACTGAACAGAGTTAGAAGGAGATGCATATAATTCTAGCTCATGAAGTAGCATGAGCTATTCTAGAAAAGTATTGAACACATTCCATCAAAAAATTTAATAAACAACAAACAACCTGCATTTTGAGAAAGAAAAATAACATGCAGGACATCACTATTATATTTGCAGATGCACTATACTGTTCTCTTTGATTATTTTTTTAAAAGATTTATTTGATACAAAAGTTGGGATAACAGGCCAGAGGCGTAGGAGGGTGAGAGGATTCACCAGAGACAGACTGGGGGAGCAGACAGGCAGACCACAGAAATATACTGCTGAGGGGACAGCAGGGTGGACAGGAGAGGTCTGTGGCACCATGTGGGATTCTCACCACCAGCTGGGATTGAACCTGCACTGTTGAGGCTGCATGGAGCTCAACCCGCTGAGACACTGGGGAGGCCCTCTCTTTGATTAACTTTTAAATTAATATCAGGTCAGCCTCAAGAACAAATTGTATTCTTCCAATGAAATTTAATTATTTTTATTTTTATATTTTTTTTAAGGTAAATTGGCTTACAACACTGTATATGATTCAGAAATAAAGGATTCCATTTCCGCAGGTGTATATTACCACACCATGCCCATCACCAAGGCACCATAGTCTCTTTTCACCTACTTTTTTAAAAAGACAGACTCAAGCTAGTAAAGGAAAATGAACAAAGATAAATTAAGGATTTAGAGTTAAATGCTATATTAAAAGGAACATTCTGCTAATAAGGATAAAAATAACTACTATTCACTGAAAACTTATTGTCTCCCAGGCACTATATTAAAATATTCCATCTTTATCTTTATAGGTAGGTAATGTCATTCATTACAGTGTAGAAGTTGACTGTCAGACTTCTGAATCCCACAGTTACCCAGCAGTATATCTGAGTTTCTAGCCTAGATCTGTTAGACCCCCAAATTTTGTGCCTATTCTCAAAGCATTTACTAAAAAGACCAATGTTTATTACAATGTTCAGTATCTTAATGTTTTAGAATTTATAAACAGTAAACCTGAAAACCAGTTTCTTTAGTAGAATATGTATAAATCCCTAATTAGTTAACCTGCTGTTTTTTCCAATAAGGTTTAATGTATTCTTTATGAAAAATGTCAGAGATCTTCTATATAGATATGTCTCATCATTTAAGGTTGATGTAAGCAAATTAAGTGATAGCACATATGGGGACACAAACAGGAAGAGAGTTTTTTTTTTTTTTTTTGGGGACCCTGCTGCGCTGCCGCCAGGCAACGGAACCCGTGCTGCAGATGCTGCAGGCAGCCCCGCAGCGCGCGCATCAACCGCTGTGCCACCCGGATGCCGGGAAGAGAGAGTTTTTTAAGATGTCATAGTAGATGATGATTTAGATTGACATAATATTTGTTATCAAAATTAAGTTTCACCCAAGACATTACCTTCGAGGAACATTGTGAGGATATGGAATGACAATTAGTTGGAATTTGGAATGATTGCAGTCCACTCTTGTTTTCGTACAGTCTGGAAAAGGAATTTAAGAATATTTAACAATGAAAAATATCAAAAGATTCTAAGAAATAAAGAACCTCAACATAATAAAGGCCATATATTACAAACCTATAGCTATATACTATTTAATGGTGAAAAACTGAACCTTTCCTTGAGGTATCAGGAATAAGATAAGGATGCTCACTATCAGCACTACTTTTTAATTTAGTATTAGATTTAGAGCAATTATGCAACAGGAAATAAATGCAATCTAGGTTGGAAAAAGAAGAAGTCAGATATTATTTGAAGATGCTATGATATTATACATAGAAAAACATTAAGGAGTCCACCAACGAGCTATTAGAAACAATAAGTGAATAATGTAACATACAAAAATCTGTCAGCAACATAAAAATCTGTTGCTAGTTATATATATAAATGAGAAGAAAAATTAAGAAAATCATTTCATTCACAATCATTTCAAAAGAATCAAATACCTAGGAATTAATTGACAAAGGTGAACAACTTATATATGAAAACTGTAAGATGTTACAAAAGATTCAGATCATGACATAAGGAGATGGAAAGACATTCCATGCTCATGGATACTCAAAGTCACTATTCTTCCATAAGTGATATATAGATCTAATGCAATCCCCTTTAAAAATGGTAACAATATTCTTTAAAGAAAATTAGTAGAGAAAACGAATATTAAAAAATATGAAATTTATATAAAAACTTTTATAAAAGCCCTGAATAGCAAAAGCAATCTTGAGAAAAAAGGGAAGAAACAAAGGAATTGTTATTTGACTTTAAAGTATACTAAGAAGCAACAGTAATCAAAACAACATGGTTATTAGAATAAAAACACACATGGATCAATGGAACAGAACCAAAAGCCCAGTAATAAATACGTGTATATATCAACTATTTTTTATGATAAAGGAGCTGTGGGTCATACAGTAGGAAGAGGAACATCTCTTTAACAAATGGTGCTGGGAAATCTGGATGGCTACATATAAAAGAATGAAGTTGAATCACTCTCTAATTCATGCACAAAATAAATTGAAAATGGATTGAAGATTTAGATAAAAGATCTGCAGCAATAAATGTATAGAAGAAAATACTGGTGATACATTTCATGGCATTAATGATAAAGATGTTTTGGAGACTTTCCTTTCCATGGCAAGGAAAATAAGAGTAAAAGAAAACAACTTAGATTACCTCAAATTAAAAAGTGAAAGAAAATCTAAGTAGGTTAAGAAGACATTCCACTGAATGGAGAAAGTATTTACAAATTATACAACCAAAAAAGTGTCCATATCTAAGCATATAAAAAATTACACTTTTTAACAATAAAAACCCCAAAAACCCAATTAGTAAATAGGCAGTAGATCTGAACATGTAATTTACCAATGAAGAAATCCACAAAGCCAATAAATAAATGAAAAAATTTAGGTCAAAAGCACAATGAGGTATTGTTTCATGCTCCTGAAAATGGTGCATATTAAAAAGACCCCCAAATACAAATGCTAGAGAGGGATATAAAAGAAGAAACCTATTATAGTGTTGGTGGGAATGTAAACTGGCACGGCCATTTTTGAAAAGAGATCTGGATTTATCTGAAGAAAACTAAAATGGGAATACCATATAACCCAACAACCCCACTCTTGGGAATCTATCCAAAGAATATGAAATCATCAATTCAAAAATTGTATGCTCTGCAATGTTTGATGAAGCATTATTTTCATAACAAATATATGGGAACAACCTAAGTGTCCAATTATAGTGGACGGGGTCAAGAAGATGTGGTCAGTCCACACAATGGAACACTATCAGCTATAAGGAAAGACAAATGTTGCCATTTACAGAAAAATAGAAGGGGTTTGAGGCAATTATGACAAAGACAAATATTGGACATTTACATAGTGTACAATTTGACAAAGCAAAATACTTATAAAAATTAGTGGGCAATAATAAATGAAGTGATGTCATTCATTTAAATGAAATGTATTCTTTCATTTAAGGTATAAAATATATGCAGCTGCTGTACATATAATTCTGTCTCTATATAAAAGCAAGAATTATTTATTTTTACAATAAGAACACTCAACAGAGAATCCAATTTATACAGTGATTAAAAAAGTAAGAAACAAACTTACTTTTTGACTGAAATCCTAGGTATGGATTAAGCTACATTTACATATAGAAAGCCCAAATAGACTTTCTGTGCTCTGTTGGCAGACTTAAAATATTTTTTCATGTTAGTATGTTAGATGGTGAAAATGATAAGAGGAAAAAACAGGAAAGAGAAATAGGAAGTTGTGAGATTTATGGGAGAGGTGGCAGGAAACTACTTTCAAATTATGAAGTGCTATGTGTAAAAAAGCTTAGATCAATTATTTTATTTTAAAGGGAATAAAAATGTTTGAACCATTTGAATGTCAAATATTTAAAACACAGATTAGTTGTAAAAAAATAAAATTTTTACTTACCTTCTCTCCGGATGGACGGGGAATACCAACATAAAGATGTCAAAAAAATTTGCACTTCGACCTAACCCAAGTACATTGTATGGCAGTTGAAGAGCTAAATGTGCTGATTGGCTGAGTTGTCCAGCTACATATATTAAAAAAAAAAAAAAAAAAAAAAAGACAGTCTTTGGAAACAATATTCTTATCACATGTTAAAATGATGAAATGTTAAAAGTTTAGGTGTTAGAACTTACTTTTTAGGAATAAAAATGTGAAATGAAATGTTCATTAATAGTAATGATTTACTTTTAAAAGAAATGTTGCCTTTCTGAGATATTATTCACACACCATAAATATTACCCATTTAAAGAGTATAGTTAAATGGCTCCGAGTATGTGCAAAGAGTTGTTTTGACATAGCCACAATAATGTTTTAGAATATGTCATCACCCTAATGAGAAACTGTACTATTAGCAGTTACTTCTATTTCTGTTTTTGTTTATCTGGTAATGGCTAATAATTTTCATTCTGAGGGACACCTTTGCCACATACAGTATTTTGGATCAACAGATATTTTTCTTTCAGTATCATCCCATTGCTTCTTGCCTCTATGGTTTCTGATGAGAAATCAGCTGTTATCTTGAGACTCTCTTGTATGTGATGTGTTGCATCTTTTTGCTTTCAAGAGTCTCTTTGTTTTTTGATAGTTTGGCTGTGTCTCAGTGTGGGTCTCACTGAGTTTATTCTACTTGAGATTCACTGAACTTTTCACATTAATTATGCAGATTAATGTTTTTTATTAAATTTTGGTGGTATCAGCCTATTTGTTCAGATACTTATTCTGCCCTTTTCATCCTCTCTTTCCCATCTAAGACTCCTCTTATGCATGATGGGATCCACAGGTCTCTGAGGTTGTTCATTTTTCTTTTGTCTTTCTGAAACCAGATTGTATTGATCTTCCTGTCCAATTTAGATGACTTTGATTACTTTTTCTGGTCTATTTGCTATGTCTAGGAATTCCAGTCACAGTTGAATAGCAGTAGTGAAAGTGGATATACTTTTATTTTCTTTATTTTATAGAGTATACTTTACACATAATTCTGATTGTTAATACCATTGTAAGTAGGTTATGCTATAACTTAATATCTATAGTTACGTAACAAGGCAGTACAGGAGATGAATTCCATTGTAATAACTCCCATGCAATCTGTTTTTAGGCAAGATATTGAAGTCAGGTTCATTATTTAAAGTGCTAGATGTGAACTCTATCACAGCTTTAGCTTCATATGCATATATGCTGGCATAAAAGGCAGGAAGAGCAAAAAGGAAAATTCACTAACTGAAGAAAAAAGATTCACTGAAATTTTATCTTTCTTGGTGTGTGCTTGTGTCTGTGTGTGTTTCACTTTGAGATAAAAGAACACTGAATTTCATCTCCTTGCAAGGCCACAAAGAAATTTCATCTACTGGTAATGTTTGCAATTCATCTGGACCTGCCCTGGTTTGAGGAAAAATAACATCTCCATAAAAATGAGATAAAAGGACACATTCAAATAGCAAATATTTTACGTAACTTTAGAGAAACCATGGCTCTTCTTGGGAGAGAAATCTGTTCACAGCTTTGAAACACTACTGCATTGAGATCGCAGCTGCATGCTGGGAAACGAGCAGCTGCACAGGCTGGGCTTCTAGGTGCCGGGTGCTCAGCCCCCAGCATTGTATGGGTGCTGGAAACTAGACTTTTGGAGGGACATCATAATGTAGCATATGTAGATGGTGAACTAGAATGCTGTCCACCTGAAATCTATAAATGTTAGAGACCATTTAGTGCTTTGATAAAAATTTTAAAACAAAACAAAACTAACTACGCTGACATTAATAAAATGGAGGTGAAGAACACCAAAAGAGGACAAAATATAAAAACTAAATAAAAAACTTCAGTAAGCAATAATAAAAGAATTGGTGGCTACTGAATGCTTATTATGTGCCAAAAACTGTGCTAAGTACTATTATTTATGTTATTAATTAACAATAATTATTATCTTCACTTTACATGGGGAATTGAGAGATTAAGCCACTTCACCAAAAAATTAAAATGTAGTGCTGGGATTTTACTTTTGGCAACTTAATTCCAATCCAGCACCCTTTGTCACTCCCTGTGGTCTTGTTTCAGTTGAAAAAGAAGTATAATATTTGTCTTATTGCTGTATGAACAGGACACTGAATGATATAAAATAACCCCTGCAAACCATTTATTCATTTCTTTTACTGCTTGCCTTTCTAAATATTTGTGGGCTACTAGTATATGATCTGGAAATCTGTAACATTTTATACATAGTCATTCCAGTCACCATGACATTTACTAGATTTGTAATACAGGCTCTGGGGCGATAATTCATGATTGTGGCACTGAGTGTTGGGCCCTATGTTTCTGTTCTATATGTAAAGCCCGGGCTAATATGCAAGTATTTTGAGAGAGGAGGCTGGCTAATTTTTTTGATCTTCTGTTATAGGCACCAAATCGATGAGGAAAGGTTAGTCTAATTATATCAATGTAGCTTATGATCATAAAAAAGAAAATACTCTGGATATAGACGAACTCTTGACTTACACTAGAGTAGTTAGCTTATTCTATAGATATTAAGCAGCTAGACCAGGCACTCTGTGACCGTAGCAGCACTTTAATCAATGTCATCAAATCATAAATCAAAGACATGCTAATTTAATGTCACTATATAAATATTTGTTTTTTAATAACCCTGCTTAGCAATCAGCTCAAATAAGAAATAGACTGTCTTTATAGAAAAGAAAATGCATGTAGAGGAAGTGGTTAATACTTTTAAAAGTAATTTGTATTAACTAGGTAGTCTAGAATATGGATCCAGAAAGAAAGATCCTGCATTATTCTAAGTGAACCGTATATGGAGATTTGTGAGACAACTTGCTCAAACGCCAAATTCCTGGTTATCAGAAGAGGGACTATAGTTTTTATGGAAAACTGTCCACCCAGGGCTCCTGGAAAACGTCTTACAACTATGATTAGCCTTGTTTCCTTGGGAGTTGATGGGTAGCCCACTGATACTTTACTGTTATTTCTTTGAATATTTTGAATTATGTTTGAACTCAGCTTCTCTATAACTGACAAGGACAAAGTGATGAAATATATGGTAGAGCTCCTCCCAGTCTGAAAATAAGTCCATGAAAGAAGGTGCTTACATGCGTCCGGTCCAGTGACTTACTTATTTTTATACCTATTCCCCGTGCACAGCATCGTGGTCACAGATAAGAGGCACTTGGAAAATGTCTGTAGTACTAAACTGAAGTTTTGGTAGTAAATAATAAAGCTTAATTTGTACGTGTTTAACTTTGGTTTTCCTTGAAGTATTAAAATATGCTCTATATCAATGATTACTACCAGTGGGCTTTGAACAATAGCATGATATCAGTTTAAAGAAGGGAACTTGAACAAATGTATTTCTTACCACAGGATACTCATGATGTGGTATTAAGGAAAGCAAATAGGATTTGAATACCAAAGGTGGTATTCAAAGACTGGTCTGCTTGATCTTTAGATAGCCCACTGTCCTCCTCTCTAAGCGTTAATTTGTTTATTCATTCACCTAAACATATATTGGATATACACTATATACCCTTTATACAGAGATGAAAAAGACCACCTGGTCCTAGAGATTCTTAAGAAAGTAAAACAGAAAAATATAACTGAATATTTCTTCACCTATAAAATTAGAATTACAATATCACCCAGGCATAATTTTGGCGAGGCAATTGATTACAATAGTGCTTAACTTTTAATGTATTTGATAGTCATTGAAAATGGAAAAACACTATATTTTAATATATCATATATCATTAGTCATATGGTCTTTTTTTTCCTTAGGTTTTTTCAACTTGCTATTTATTCTTAAAAAATAATGTAACACCAATTTCTCATGGTAGTTTTTTCTAATTTTTCTTTTGAAATCAATCAGGAAGCTTGAACCCTGATTCAAGTTTTATCTGTAAACTTGTTTCCCAGCTACAGATTTAAGGTGTGATTTTATTTTTTTGTCAAATTATATATAATTCACATGCAACAGAGGGTATTACTTTGAAGTCTATGACTCAGTGCTTTTTAGTAATTTACAAGGTTGTACAACTGTCACCACTGATTCCAGGATACTTCATCACCAAAAGGACCCTGTACTAGCAGTGATTAGCAGTCACTTCCCATTTCTTCCTCTCCCCAATTTCTGGAAATCCCTCAGTTCCTTTCTACCTTTATGGATTTGCCTATTGGGATATTTTATATAAATTGAAACATATAATATGCAGCCTTTTGTGTCTGGCTTATTTACTTGAAATGTTTACAGGTTCATCCAAATTAAAATATTTCATCTTTTTATCACTGGATAAAAAAAATTATATGTATATATATTCAAGTTTTATCTGTTATATATAGAAATATATACATATAGAATAGAAATATATATAGAATATATAGATATATATAGAATAGAAATATATACAGATAAAACTTGAATATATACATATATACATTTTATCCAATGATACAGATCTCTATATCACCATTCATTAGCATTTTATCCATTCATTAGCTGATGGACAATGGTTCATACACACTTTTTAGTATTATGAATAATGTTGCTATGATATTCATGTACCAGTTTTTTATGTAACATATATTCTTGATGTTCTTGGGAATACATCTAGCAGTGGGATTAATGAATGGTTCATTCCTCTCTCCGGAATCAAGTAGTGTGACTTTGATAGCTGTTCTTCTATTGCTTAATGCGCATAAGCACTTAATGAAGGAATGATAAGTCATTTCCATTGCATGTGAAAAATAATGCAAAGGGAAACAATAAAATAAATCCACAACTCTCATAAAGCCAAATTGCATTGCCTGTGGAGGTCTAATTTAATGGCTAGTGCTCCTGTACAGAATTGCATTAGGAAGGTAAATTTTTCTCAGGTTATGTACAATTATATTCAGCAGGATTTAATCTCTGGATTAAAAAAAAAAAACTCTGGTTTCCAAAGTGGATGATGTGGTATAAATGATCTAATTGGGAAAGCCTGGCTTATGCTTTAGTGTATTCCATTTGCCATGATGAAGAGCTATACT